ATATATATATATATATATATATATATATATATATATATATACCCACACGCACATGAACACAAACAAATACAAATTAGACATACTAATTATATTTTTATTATATTATACATACATTTAAACATTCACACATAATGCACTATACATATATACATTTACATAAATATATAATTTATGTCTCCATACAGAATACACATAATTCTTACATATGATGTGATTGAGAAAACTTTGGGAATCCTTTCTAACTCGATGTACAGTCCTCTCAGAAATTCGAATACTATTTGAATAATTTTTTTCGTTTATAATAAAAAACACATATTAAATTATAAATAATTTTAGAAACTATATTACGCGAAATTAGGAATTGATTTTACCTTCGGACACACAATCCCAGTCGCTAGCGCCACCACGCGTCATGATACGCGTGTCACCAAAAAATATCAGGCGCTGATGATCGAATTAGTGCGTGTTGTCACATGCGGCGCACCAATATCATATTTGGTCGCCACCCCTCCATTCTCTTCCTTAATTTTTTTTTTTCTTTTTTTTCTTCCTTTTTCCCTTTTTTTCTCTTCTTTTGTTTTTCTTCTTTTTTTCTTTTTTTTTTCTTCTTTTTCTTCTCTCCCTTTTTTTTCATTTCTTCTTCTTTCTTTTCCTTTCTTCTTCTTCTTCTTCTTCTTCTTCTTCTTCTTTCTCTCTCTCTCTCTCTACCCGACATGAGTCTTCTCTCTCTTCTTCTCATTTTTCTTTTTTATTTTTTTTTCTTTCTTCTTCTTCCTCGCGGCTACTTCCTCTCTCCACTGCCGCATGCGCCATGGCAGTTGTGCCTCATTTCCTTTCTCTCTCGGCTGCTGTATCGCGCAACGCAGCGAGACCCTTCTCTCTCGGTCATCGATGTCGCTCGACCGTCTCTCCTCTCACAATCTCATCTTTCCCTTCTCGATCTCTCATCTTTCTTTCTCTTTTTTTTTTTTGTTATTTAATTACATATATATATTTACCACTTGAATATATATATATATATATTTGTCGCTGTTTAGATATTATAAATTAATTTATAATTATTTTTATTTATTTTAAAATATTAAAATTAATCTCAAACCAAATTTCAGGGCGCAATACTACAATTTTAAAAATTTTCATCTCTTTTTATGAAATTTGTATTTCTTGAAAAAAAAAATAGAAATAATTTTGATCATAATAATCACATTAGTATATTTAGAGGGAAAAAAAATACAAAAACATGGAATTAATTACAATCTATATAATTTTGGCATGTTCAAAATGAAAATATATGTACATAATAATTCTGGAAATAAATTTTATTTTTTTGTGAAATTTATTTATTGCAAAAATATTTGGTTAAAAACAACATAAATGGTATGGATTTAATTTGCCAATTTTATTAAATTTTTATTTTTTTAAAAACCAAAGCATAATGTATCCATACTCATCTTTACATGCTATGATGAACATCATACACACTCAAGAACCATAATTTTTCTCAGAGAATGAAATTAAAACTTGATACTTTGACATATTTCATTGCATTCAAATTCAAGATTTTGAGATATTTTATTTAATTCAAGTTCAAGATTTAATGGAGTGAAATAGGACAAGATAACTAACTACCTACACATACATATACGTGTATTTATACACTTAAAACCCTAATATGTAAATCTTGGTATATTCAAGAAGATCATTCAAATTAAAATTCAAGATTCTGAAATATTTCATCGAATTCAAATTCAAGATTTAATAGAGTAAAGAATAGAAGACAACTAGCTACGTATACATACATATCTATACACTTAAAACCTTAATAAGTAAAACTTTTTATATGCAAGAAAATTATATCAAATTCCAATTCAAGATTTTGAAAGATTTCATTAAATTCAAATTCAAGATTTAACAGAATAAAGAATACAAGAAAACTACCTACCTATACAGACATATACGTGTATCTATACACTTGAAACTCTAATATGTGAAACTTTGTATATGTAAGAAGATCATATCAAATTCAGATTCAAGATTTTGACATATTTCATTGAATTCAAATTCAAGATTTCACAGAATAAATAATAGAAGAAAACGAGCTACCTATACATACATATACATGTATCTATACAATTGAAACCCTAATATATAAAACTTTGTATATACAAGAAGATCATATCAAATTCAAATTCCAGATTTTGAGCCATTTCATTGAACCCAACTTCAAGATTCAACAGAGTAAAGAATACAAGACAACTAATTATCTATACACACATATATGTGTATCTATACACTTGAAATCTGTAAAACTTTATACACACAAGAAGATCATATCAATTTCCTTTCTGTTTCTTCTTCACCAACTTCAGTAACCGATCAAAAGATTCCGAACTGCATGCAAGAACAATGGGTCCATCTATCTTGGGTTCCATCATCTGATCGTCGTCTATTGACCGTCTGATCAGTTCTTGAAGAGCATGATCCGCCAGATGTTTCACCGGAACTTCATATCTTTTCCGTTCTTCTCCGACGTAAATCGCCACGAAACCCTTTCGAGCACGGCGCTTGACGTGGCCGTCGTCGTCATCAGCCGTTAAAGGCGAGTAGGACTTCTTGGAATGGTGGCGAAGACCCAAACTTTTCATCACAGAGCCGATACCGCCGTGGAAAAATCCTGAAGCGTGCATGTTTAATTTGCAGAGCTTGTTTCTTGAGAGAGAATGAGAGAGATCAGAGAGAGAGATGTAAACGAAGAGACTGCAAGTGAGAGATATGAAAAGGCTAGGCTTGCTTCTTGATTTGTATATATATATATAGTATCTGCATTTCCTTCTTGAATAGGAATCGAATTTGCGGTTTGCTTAGATAAAACTTAAACTCGTTTGATTTAATAGTAAGTTTATTAGCGGTTTGTTTGGATAAAATTATTAAAATAATACTAATTATTATTATTAATATTATTATTATTACTAAAAGGAACAGAAAACCTACTTACAGACTAGATTCATAGACCACTATGGTTATGAAATTGTAAGTAACATAAGCTTTTGCATTAATGTACCGTTCAATTCAATTATCATTGATAAAAAAAATAGACATAATTATAGGTTAAATTATCATAATGCATTAAATTGCATTCTCTTATTAATAATTAGATTACCATAACATACACAAGTATTTAATTAAATGACATGGTTATCATATACTTTTGAATTTCATTATTTACCAACTTAAACAACACGTCAAAAGAATCAAGCGTGCATACAAGAACAATCCGCTCATTGGGGTCCATGATCCAATCATTGTTTATTAATTGTCTAATGAGTTCTTGAAAAGCCGAAATTAACAAATGTTTCATCAAAATTTTATATAGTTTCAATTCCTCCTCTCACGTAAATCGTCACAGAACCCTTTCAAGTAGGCCACCGCAAACAATCTATGTAACTTTTCGGAAGAACTATACCTAAACTTCTCATGAGAAAGTCTACACCTCCATAGAGAAACATTGACGCATGCATGCTTGCTAAATGTGTTCTTTAAAAGGTAAATTAAAAATTATACGTTAGTTTAAGTGGTGATTGCTGGTGATTCAAAAAAATGAGAAAGTTCATAGAGTACTGGACCTATATCGAAATAGAATTTTTAGTTTTCTCTATTTATTTTATATAACTTTAAGAATTTAATGTAAGATAATATATTTTTTGAAAATATTATATAGGTAGGTTTACTTAAAAATTTAGTCCCCACTCTTGATTTATTATTTAAAATGGTACATAAACTTTAAATTTTAGAATTGACGAGCTCCCTTTTTCATTTATTTCACTTTTTACTAATTTCAAAATAATTTTAAATTTACTACTTTAATTTTATCCGAAATTAAAATTAAAAAATTCGACCAATTCAAATTATAAAAGAAGTTAAACTTTAATAATAAATCTTACAATTTTTAGATAATTCATTTGTTCACAGAAGACTTTTCTTTTTTTTTTTTTTTTTTGGGGAATTTGGAAATGATTTTAAGAGTGGAAAGAAAAACATAAAATCCTCTTAATACTCGTTTTTTCTTCTTATCTGTTTCTTTTGTAACGAAAAGAAGCAAGAAAGCGCCTGTAGCTCAGTGGATAGAGCGTCTGTTTCCTAAGCAGAAAGTCGTAGGTTCGACCCCTACCTGGCGCGTTTCCTTCAGAGTTGAAACAACTTTTTGGAATAACAGAACATGCTCCTCCTACCTTTTAAAAATCGTAGGTTGATTTCCTTTACACACAATCTTCTTTTTTAATGAATTTGTGTTTACCCTTATATTTTAAAAAAATTGAATCAGATTTCAAATCAAACAAAAGCTCCAGCCAAGCCATTGATAATTAATTATTAGGAGCAAGAATTGACGAGGCAGCAATGTTTTTTGCTTCTATCTCCCAGAAATTTCTTGCATTGCTTCTATAATTCCAAAATGATTAACCATCATATTTCGGTCTCTAATCTTTTGTGAAGTGAGAAATCTGGCTGATTTGGATGAGGTAAAATCCCCATTTTCAGAACCTTCCTTTGATGGGGATTGTTTGAGAAGCTGCTTGAATGACTCCATTTTTGTCTTTGCCAATTAACTTATCATTTTCCTCAATGCACTTCAACTAACATCGATTCTGTACCCTCAGGTGCTTCTCTCTGTAATAAAAACCAATCTAATATAACCATACGCACATATATATATATATATATATATATGTATGAGAATGACCAGAATCCATGTGACCTAAAACGATGTGTCCAGTTATCCATCAACCATGAATGTTGGTTCCATGACTGGGAGTCGAGAGACTTGCGAACAAATTTCAGCCTCCAATTATCATCATTGCAGGGAGAATAAAAGAATTGAAATGGCTTTAACGTAATTTTTTTTGAATAAATTCTTATAAACTTATTTAAAATTTTATATTTGTTTTAATTATGAAATAATGAAAATTACTTATAAAACAATAAAAATTAACTGAACATCACAATTGAAGGTCAAGGTGTATGGATTTCTAAATAAACTAAACAAACACTCCAAATATAGATAAATTCTGTCCGGGTCAAAGGATGTCGATATAAATCAACTGGACATCACAATTGAAGATCAAGGAACTAGAAGCATAGCACTATTAGGACCCATGAAACAATAATGCAATTTTACACCAATCAAGTTCTGAAACAACATTTGTAAAAATGGTGATCGACGATTCTTTTATCAAACTTTACACCACTGAGCATCAATGCCCTGTATAAAAGCAGCATCAAAAACTCACGGGCACCGGAAACAATGCACATCCCACATAATTAAAGACACCAAAGGTTCTGTGATATGACTATCTGAATCAATGTTGTCGTAACTATAAATACTCTGATCTCGGGTTCAAAAAAAGCTGAGCTCTGTTGTCAAAAAAAAATTACAGAGAACATATATAAACAACTTTTGTATTCTCTAATTTCCCTTTGGCAACCTTAACAACCACAAGAAAAATCAGAATTTAGAAAGAATAAGAAACAACTCACCTTCGATGACAAAATTGTTTAAGCACTTGTAACAAGATCAGTAACCTTTCCCACGGCAACTGTTTTCCCTGCAAAATAGATTTATTCATGTTACTAGACAGCCTATAATTAGAATATGCATAAATATAAATTCATATTTCTTAATCACCTTCAGTTCGCAAAGTAAACCTCCCAAGCTGTGGGAAGTCTGAAAATTTCTCAATGCAAATCATGCTGTTCACCTGGGAACATGAACGGAGAACTAAAAGTCAATAAAGAGAATCCAATAACTATTGACATCAGTAGACGTGACTGTAACCAATGAGAGTGAAATTCCCTAGCAAATTCACATTTTTTTATCTACATTTAAAGAATAAAATGTATATTTGCAAATTAATTTCACACTTGTTTCATAGAATTTATTCGTCTAAAACATAGTGCAACCTCTATTTTATCCTATTTCCTCCCCCCATAAGTTTGTTGACATCAATGTTAACAAAGAACTACACCTCCATGCACCCAAAGCACAGCTACCAAAAAACCCTGGCAAAGGACTGTTCCATCTTTATTAGAAGGGTAGTGCTGTCGAGGCTTGGGTCAAATTTCCAAAATTTTAGTCCATGTGATTTGAGAGTAAAAGATCAAATTATTAATAAATTTCCCATAAGATGTAAGTTTGTGAGAGCAAAAATGAAAGGTCTAAAGCCAGCTGAGAACATGAACCAGACCTGGACACGGCACACAACAACAGCACCATTCTTCACAAATAGGACTTTCTTTTTAAGTGGCTTCTTTGTCTTTGGATCAATCTGCTGTAGCAGCTCAACAATCTCACACTCCTCAACAACAGAATGGATATGGAGAACAGCTTTATAGCCAGCAGTAAAAATAGCCTAAGTAGCAAAACACCCAGGGAATAAACAAACGTTGATAATTCAACCTAACATCTAAAAGAGGCTTTTCAGAGTAAATTTTATAGACAACTAAAATAAAAAGTGTACATTGTCCAGCAACTCAAGGATCTGCAACTGGGAAACAAATTCGGTGACAGCAGCAATTGGCTTGGCTGCAAGAAGAAATATATAGAAACCACCAAATCAATTTCAAGAAAATAAAAGATACAACAGTGCTATAACTATAAAATCAAACAAGATTGAAGAAAGGGAAAAGTGTGAGTATATTTGAAAATACAAAAGATAATAATTGTCCTCGCTGCTAAAAACTTTTAGCAGCTTATGATGCTCTCTAATGCAAGCACACATACACAATATTAATGTCACTAAAAGACTCAGTGCAGAAGAGCTTCGGTTTCAAAGTTATAATTAGTAGACTTCCCATTAAATACGTTTAGTCACGTGTCCGTCATCAACTATATTAGCACAGAACAAACTTGCATATGATCTATCATTACTTCACCGCTTACTTCTTTTTATTTGAGAAAACTTACCAACACTCGACAAAACAAAACCCGATAAGATGTCTTCTTCTTCAATGCCAGACAATCTAACCCGTAGGTTCTCACCAGGTCCTGCACACCTAACTTTGTCTTCATCACAGTATATCCCAATAACTTTTACAGAAACCTGCAGGTTAACATATTGAGTCTCAGACACTACAAAGTAAAAAATAAGGTTGGAAGTATTAATTAGACATCCTTAGAGATTACCTTGTTTGGCATCACTACCATAGAATCACCTTCACAGATGCTACCAGATTCAACTTTTCCCATCACAACAGTTCCCATGTCTTTGAATTTGTCAATTATAGGCATCCTACAAGTTTAATCCAAAACAAATAACTGATTTCCAACCAAAAGTAGCTGAATCTTATCAGTGTCAAGCCCACAAATATATCCCTTCACTTCTCAAAAAAAATTACAAGCCATACAAGAAGGACAAACATATCAATTAAAAGGGAAAAAATGATGGAGACTGAGACTGAAAGCCCTATATTAACATAAAGTAATAGAACATCCAGCAAGAAGGAAAGAAAAAAAAGGAGTTGAGAAAGAAAGAGATACCTAAAAGGACCTTTTGGATCTCGTAAAGGAACTTGTACAGAATCAAGTACTTCAAAGAGGCAAGAACCATTCCACCATGGACATATGTTTTTATCCAATCTCTTATTCAGGTTTAAACCAACCAGACCAGATATAGGTAAAAACTGAACATCTGCAGGTTTTGAAAGAAAGTTTTTAACTAATAACCAGACAAGAGTACATTATCAGCAAAAACACAAGGATTGCAGCTACAAGCATAGTTCAACAATAAAAACTTCAGTAACACTGAATTCCAGGCAAACAATGATCCAGATACATTATCAGCAAAAATACAGGATAATCCAACTAGAATAGCAAATAACGATCAAGGTACTTGAACAAACAATAGTATAAACTTAGTTTTCCCTATGACATGAAACCATCATAGCACAAAACACCCCATTAAACAACTGCACAATAATGGTAGCACGTAGACCACTGAGGTCAACAAACACATAACGTCCAACTCACAAATGCAAGCTGGAGAACTCAATGACAATAAGCAAATATATTAGATCCACATTTTCTCAAAAATCAAGTTGAGAACCGGTGTGTTGTAAAGTTATTTGTATTTGTCACCTATTTTGAAAACTAAGAGAAAAGATTGATTAGAGAGAATCCAATGATAACAAATTGAGGAAGAAACTCGAAAACTTTTCCTGGATGAAAATTTCTGCTTTGTCTTTTGATTCTCAGAACAGGATAAATGCATCTGATTAGGAGAGAACCATGAAACTGGCCCATCACAGAACCAACAAGAGAACCTTAAAAGTACCTGCCATGAAACAGCAACCACCGAAAAATGCAAAAACTAACCAACACAAAAGCCAGAAATAGAACTTTATGAACCGGGAATAAATTGAAAAGAAAACCTAAACTGGTTGAGAGTCAATCTCTACCCTAAGGAGGTGCTTGTCCTCCAGCATAAAAGAAACCTTTTCCTCTATATCAGATCCATGCTCAACAACACTTTCAACCACCAAAGGTTTCTATAGAGATTATTAGAACCAAATGTCTCACCGAGCTTTATAATAGCCTAGTGGTTAAAACTAGTGAATGCTTTCCTCTCAAAAAGAACCAAATCTTTCCCCACACACACCTTTATTCAAAGTCCTTTCACCCAATTAACAAACTAATACCAGGAAGTTTGAAGAATTAGCCACTATATTCTCTTCCAAAACAAAATTATCATAATGGTTCTGCCAACCATCCACCACAATTCATACAATCCAAGCCAAAGTCATTACAGTAGTTACCTAATTGACACTATAGATCCACCTCAACAGCAATATAGTCTTTTTTAAAAAATAAAAGTGAAGTATTATTATGCACAAGGTACCAAGGGGGTACCGCCCATATACAAAAACAGCAATACAGTCTTGCAAACCACTCACATAAATCTGTACATCTTGCTTGACCGAGAACACTTTCAAATGCTGCCAACTGCTCAGAAGCAGCATTTACTCAAAACTTTCCCCATGAACAAAGTTTATTTAGTTTACAGGCAAGTGACCTTAATTTAGAGGTCCAACATACAAGCTAGAGTGCTGCTCAAATCCTCCTAAGTAAATTATGGTCAGACTCTGTCTCTATTGAAGGAACCATAGGTGTACATGCCGGTCTAAATGAAGGGGTTAATGATCCCATGTATTCTGCCAAACAGGCAGGTCCACATTATGATCAAACCTAGGAAAATCCAACTTAGATTATCTGGGAACAAAAGCACCACCATCCATGCTCTCAGCTACCAAAGCAACTCCATGATGTTTATATTGCCCAAAATTCACACTCCCTCATTGCTGTGTCCAACTGACTGTTCTCTAGTACGGTCTTCCAACTAGGCAGCAAGTTCTTGTAGTCTAGCCTCGTAGGCTGCTTGATCTTGTTCCTCTCAAAACTTCCTCGTGCATCATCTTCCTAACACATCTTAAGAAAGTCTCAAATTGTTGCTGGAAGATATCTAAATCTCCCAAAAGATCGTACTCATCATTGTAAAATACGTAGTTTGGGATTAGGTTATGGTTTACTGGAAAATCCAGTTGGGGATCAGAGTGTTTTTAGGTTTTCTGCCTTTGTCAACCTCTTTTAGAAACTAGGGACAACTCAGTAGTATCTCTAGATTCAGGAAGAAACCCAAAATCTTTTCTGGATATAATTCTGCTTAATCTCTGCATTCCCAAAACAACCTATACGTACATCTAGTTACAAGAGAAGCATAAAACAACCCACCACTCAAATAATTAACAACCATAAGAGAACCACAAAACTACCAATTCAAATAGGGTACCACCCACAAATGCAAAAACTATCACAGAACGAAAAGAATTAAACAACTGAACAACTGGAAATAAATTGACAGGAAAACTGAAAATAAACTACCTAATCATCAGCTTGCCATCACATGCTGGCATGTACTGGTTGAAAGCCCATAACACCCAAAGAATACATTAATAGTTAATTCTAAGGTGTCGAATAAAAATCAACTACTCATCAAACAGGTGTTAAATCATAGTGCTGAGTAACTCTAGCAAAGGAAAGAACCAGTATAACTACTTCAGTGGTTTTAGTGGCTGAATGCAATCTTGCTTTACCTTTCTTCACATTGTAGCCTGAAGACCTCAGAAAAGGAATCATCTTTCCTTCAATCTCATCATACCTGATAAAAGATATCAGCATGAATAAATGGAAAGAAAAATACAGACACCAATACCAAGCCTAAAAACAAAAGATAAAGCACCTTTCTTTTGACCAGTTAACAGTGGGATCATCCATTTTATTCACAACAACAAGCAACTTAGACACACCCAAGGTTTTTGCCAGTTGCACATGTTCACGAGTCTGCCCACCTCTCTCATAACCTGTTTCAAATTCCCCTTTACGAGCAGAAATTACCTTAGCATTGAAAGGGAGAAAGAGTCAGAAAATTCAAAATCCAACCCACACATCAAGTAATACAAGAAAACAAAGATTTGCAGAAATTGCTCACCAGCACACCAATGTCAGCCTGAGATGCCCCACTTATCATATTTGGAACATAACTTTTATGACCCTAAAGAATCACGATAAGCACAAGTTAACTAGTCTTTTTAAAAAAAAAAACAAAATGAGAAATGAAAATTGTAAACTACTCCAAAGTTGTACTTGCAAGAGAAACAAACATTTCAATTCCTTTCATCTTGAAAAGTAACAAATGTACTGTAAGAATGACCACCAAAAAGGGGGAGCCCCACCGCATATATGACCAGCAGGAACATCAGTACTTAAAAATGCCAATAATAAGAGGCAAACAATGACATTAACAAATGATCCCTTACAGGTGCATCCAATATTGTAAATCTAGTAGTCTCGGTTTCAAAGTGTGCTCTTCCAACTTCAACGGTTTTCCCCTACAATCAATAATGAAAATTTAGTTACTTCTTGGAAATTTTCAAACTCAGGCATAAAGTACGCATTTAAGGATAGCAGCATAATCAGCTTTTTGCCATTAAGATTGGACAACTATGAAAATATAGCATATACAATTAACAAGACAAACAAAAAAGACAATAAGAAGTTCTCAGCTTTATCAGAAAGCTGAAAGAAAAAATACCTTAACCCTCTCTTCTTCATTTGTGTCCATGATATATGCCATATACCTAACAAAAAAATAAATAAAGAAAAGCAAGTTAACAATGCAAGACTAGCAATATTGTGCTATCACCCTTTATTGGTCAATGACAGTAATGACTAGAAAACGATCTACTGCTACAGAAGTTTCATGACACTGTCATAGTGGTCCTCAAATTTACTTAGCAAGAAGGAACCAGAAATCTGATACCCTAAGAGACTGGGGAATAGTATTAACATAAAAGAAAACAGAAATCAATATATAGAAGAGAATAGAAATTTGCATTTTCTGTACAACAGCAAATTAAACATTAGCATCACTCTTAACATGTCTCACCAGCTTTCTCTACTTTTATCTTTTGCTTCTTTCTCATACTTTTGGATCGTACGATCATCAACCTGACCACTAAGGAAAAGAATTTGGCCTCCAGTTGTCGACTTACCAGCATCTGCAGAAGAGAACTAGTTTTATAAATAATAGAGGATTACTTTCAAAAACTATACATTTTTGGGTACAGATATATGAATTTAATGAAAACCCGAACAGTAATCTACAACTATATTGGACTCCAAGGAAATTCTGAAGATCAAATCCACCACATGATGAATTAAAGCACAGAAATTTGCAAAATAAACTTGAGCGACATTTTACACATTAGCTTTTGATATGGTAACCATATTAGAAGTATCCAAGTATAACTTAACTAACATCTAAAAGATCTTCAATATAAAAGGAAAATTAAAAATGTGGATCATTTCTTTCCTGAGAAGAAAAAAGTAAGAGGATCAATCATAAAGCAGAGCCGATAGGTTTCACATAAATAAACAACCACAACGGATAAATGATACAGAACCAATCAGCAAGCACCAATTAAGTTTAGACAAGTTTGTTTTGAAGGTCTGTAATTCGCATTGCTAAAAATTAATTAAAAAAACAAATAAAGTATACATTTGTTCAAACAAAAAGGCATATTTTCAGAAGCAGAACAACCTACCAACATGCCCAATAAACACAACATTCAAGTGTCGCTTCTTGTTTATTTCCATCTCAGCTTCCACATCCTCTGTAGCGGCTACCTCCTTTTCTTTCACTACAAAACATTGGTATAGCTAGTGAAGTTAACTAATTGTAAGTACACAAAACGCATATAGGTCACTAAGGGAGAGAAAAAATTAACTAACCTTTTGGCACGTTCTCAACTGGCAGAGAATCTCTGCAAACTTCATCTTTCGAATCTGAAACCAGCAAAGACAAAATTTCCAATTCATGCTTTCCGTTTCAGTTTTAAAAAACACTAACAGCAAGTATGTCTCCGTTTAATAACCTGTGTAATGTAAAAGATTTTGTAATCAAAATTGATTACATCTAAAGCTTTAATTATGAATACGGCTTCAGCCGTTTAATTATGTAATCAATTCCCTTGCGTTACAAAATTAATTATACTGCATTACATTACAGGATTATTAAATTCAACTAAACATGTAAGGAGTGATGTTTGGTTCAAATGCTAATTTCATAGAAGAATAGAAATAGGATAAAAAGATTAGAATAAGAAATAAAAGTCTAGTTCTATATGCAATCAAGTTTCTATCGATTTATGACTCCTACAAAGACAAGTATGTACATAGATCTAACATAAATTGACTACCCTGAAAACCAAATTATGTGTCGTTGCCTCCTTTCTAAACAATAAGAAATGAACAGATAGAATCCAACTGGTCACCAGCATAGATAGTCACAAGACTCACAACCAGCAAAAAAAATTTGAGGACATAAGAAGAGTTTACGCCTTGAATGGATTAGTAGCATAGATTAGTGGAATGAGAAATCAACAAATAGTTCAGAGGGAAATAGCCTCTAAATCAACATGGAGCTTCCCCTGAAATGCCAGAGCAGATATACACAGAACAAGCTGCTAGAATGTGACAGTTATCACTGCGATAAAAGCAAAAAGAATCTCGTAGCTAATTCCTCATGTCATCTTTGGATTAGTTGTAGAGAAAGGAATGGCGAGTCTTTTAAGGACATCGTATCTAACTTTACTACTATTAGAGACCATTTATTCAGACCTTAAATCCATACACAAGGAAGTTTCTGGGAAATCATTGATATTTTGGCTAATCCCAGTTTGTAAATTTCTGTTACTGTGGCTCTTCTTATGCTATATCTTTCTTTCTCCTCTTAAAAATGGTCATAAATTAGAAGCAGTTGATATCTCCTTTGCAGTTTAGATTTTAGAACGGTTATATGTCAGGACTTTCACAATTCAGGGAAATGAATTGTATGAAAGACCTATTGGATTTACTGGAGCGCCAGTTGTACAAAACTGTATTAAACAATGAAAAACATATAAACTTCTTCCATGGAAAGACACAAGATGACAACAAAATCAAAGCACCGAATAGCAGCACCAACCTTCCTCCATCTTATCTGGTTTCTGAACTTCAACTTCTTCTGGTTTCACATCTTCTGGATTAGAGACCCCATTGTTATCTTCTGCTAGGATCCAATAATAGCAACCAAATAATGGGAAAAAAAAAACAAGAAAACAAAATATGAAACAAAAACTTTGAATCTCCATCCAAAAAGATTTACTACGAGGTCGTTGTGATGCTACCTGCTGAATCTAGTTGTAACGAGCGGATCTCCTCTTCAATATCTACCAATCAAAAGAATGTTAAAAACAGTTATTTACGAAATTCCTAGCTGTGAAACTCCATATGGTAACAATGAAAAATTCCAAACCTATAATTATCAGGTTAATCCAGACGAAATTAGTAGAGAAATTTCGCTCATTACAAGGCAAGTAATACATATTAGTTAATAGCCATCACACTCAAAACCTTAATCGTATTGTTTAGAAAGGGTTTAAAGAAAATTTTAAATCAACTATTTTCTTCATATTCGAGTTTTAATTACATCCAAGGCATTAATTCAACTCCAACTATTTGACGGTCGTTATCTGCTTAAGAAAAACCTTCACCAGCGCAGACAGATTTCATTCTAATAATTACGGAAGGCAACCAATTAGCAACCGAAAATCACACTAACAGTAATTCAGGTTACCCGATAAAAAAAACCAATATCAGACATCGAAAGCTTACAAATTTTTAACCACTGCCTCTATATAAAATAAACGGGCAATTAGAACTTCAGAAAATCCAGTTAAAATCACCGGAAATTTACAACAAAGTCCAGTTAAAATTGCAAAATATAAATTGGATCCAACAATTTAAGAAATAAACAATCAATCAACAGTAAACAAACTGATCCTTGTCCACGAAAATTGCTACAGTAACAAAAAAAATCGGAAGTAGACAGACTCTGCAGATACAAGTGAAAAAAGAGAGCAGAAATGGAACCAGATAAAGAGAAATTAAGCGAAGCGGATAGACGTACCCATAGTTCAACGAGTTTGTGCTCGGAAGGCTAGGGTTTTTGAGAGGAGAAATGCGAGACCGTAAAAGATGCGAAGTGGTGGCGTTGCTCTTCTGGAATCTGCGTACAGCAGATGTTTTTACTTGCGGGGTGGAATGGTGGCTTCGGTTGGGTAGATTTTGATGCTTCGCCGCTGATTGAACCGGATTTTCCGGCTTTGGGGTTCTTTGCAGATAAAAGTAAACCGGGGGCGGTTCACTAAAGCTGGGTTACCATAAATAAATTAATTAATTAAGAAACTTTTTCATTTATTTGAAACTAAATAGATTTATCATAATTTTTAATAAACTTTGAACTAAATTTCACACTTAATCCAAATTAATACATTTATAAACAATTTATCTAAAAAATTAAAATTATATAAGTTTTACATTTAAAATTATTAAGTCCATTATTTATTAAAATAATACTATAAATAATAATGGAAGCTATTCATGTACTGATATTAGCCGGAAATAACTCAATTAAACTTATTCTTTATACAACCTTAATTCAAATTCATAATTTAAATCACATTATGTTATCACTTCAATATTAAATTGATAACTCGCAGCATAATAGCTAAATGAACCGTTACAAATAATTATTTATAGGCACTATATAATATAGTAAATTATTAATTTTTTAGAAAAATAAAATAAAAAGTTGGAGCCCACTATTAGCGATGGATCAACCAAGTTTTTGCAAGTGTCATTAACATATATCACTACTGTATGATAGTCCAGAAGTAGGAAAGTGATTGTCAAGAATAAATAAAAATTTGAACGAAATAAATAATCAGAGAGTTCAAAATTTTTGTTCATAACTTGGCCCAATGGGCTTTTGAAGTCAATTTTATTAGACGCGTTCTTCTTCCTACTAATTAATGATTAACAAATATACTTATACGTGCTTTTATATGTTTAATTTCATAATAATTAATTATAATTAAATTAAAATTGATTTACACTTTTAATTTCATAAAAACTAATTATGTATTATTATAACCTATTAAAAATTGGACCTGGCGAGGCCCAATATTTTCCGAGTGTACTTAAAACGCCACTGAGGCCCAGTGAAGTTGTAATGCCAAAAGGCCTAATCTACCTGACAAGCTACAGAAGTCCAGCCTGCCCAATTTTACTGGGCCGTGAAATTATGAATTTTGAATTTTAAATATAATATTTTTGTAAAATTTTTTATACCCATTTAATTTTTGGACATTGAAATTTTTATTTCTTAAGCCTAATTATGGTCTTAGCTTTTATATTTTAAATTTAAATATTTATATTTTCATTTACGGCTCATTTAATTTATATTTTTATCTAATTCATAGAACTAATATTTATTTTATCGCAATATTTAAAAGTAGGATATAAATAAATTATTTATATAATTAAGAAGTTTTTGGTTTTTCTCAAGTCATTTTGGCCATTACCCGTCAGTAACGTGGACACGTGGCTTGTAAACAGAAGAAGACGAAAGCGAAAAAGGACTGTATATGTAATTTAATGTAAACAGCAAAATCTAGGCATAGATTCTCTGAGTTTCTATCCCCTACTTTCGTCTTTACTCAAGCATTCAAGCCGGCATCGATATTCGCCGTCCATTTCATGGAAACGACTGATGATGTTTGCGGATCCTGTAATCAGAAGACCTATCTGTGTGGTGCGACGTAGAGAATCATAACCCGAAGAGCGGGAAAGCAAAGGAAGGGGAATGATTGCGATAACGTGCGCCCAGTAAGAAAAAGAATGTGTGGCAGTGATAACGTGCGCAGGGGTGGCAGCGGGACCCCTTAGCCTGCCCGTGTTGTCACATCAACGTGCCTTTTTGTCTAATATAAAATAATGTTTTTTATTCAACGGCTACCCCCATTTAGCCGTAACCTAAAAATCTAAAATTACTGTTCTGAAAGAAAGAAATTAAAATTAATAACAAATTTAATAATTAAAATCAATACATAAACACAGGAAATATCATTTTAAGGGTCGATTAATTTTTTTTTTTTAATTTTAAAATCGAACGTGGAAATAAATTGAAATTATTAATTTGTTGAAGTAATTTAAGGCTGAAAGTAAATAGTCAGAAAATAAAATATAAAGAGGGTGGAAAGGATCTTGGTAACAACTTATTCTCAGAGTCGTATTGTGGCGTACAAATGGTAAGTTTTTGTAGTAAGTTGTTTTGTCGTTACTCTCTTAGAACGAGAACCGCGATAAAACGGTGCGTTTAAAGTTTTACAATAAGGAATCTAACCACCCTTCGCTTTGGTTTCGAGTTTATTTATTTATTTATTTTTTAAAATTTTAAAATATTTATAATTTAAAAATTATTTACTATTTATTAAAAAAATTCCAACATTTAAATTAAAATGTAATTATAAAACCAAGGGAATCTAAGTCACAACGAAGCCAAAACCAGTTCCCAAGAAAATTTTTATTGACTCGGCAGAAAAACAGTTCTCTGCCGACCCACGCAACCATCATTATTCAGTGTTGGATTTTTTTATACGATGATTAATAAACTATACGTCGCTCTCAACTTTCTTCTTTTACTTATAAGCTGGCTCCTCGCTTGTCGACCTCATTAATGGCTGGTTACTTCTAGGGTTTGTTTCCGGTTAGCTACGTGGGTTAAGTTTAGCTTTCATGGGTTAACTTCGACAAATATAGCCTTATATATTATTCGAGCTTGTCCACAAATTTGGGTAACTGGGTAGGGTTTCTCAAAGGTCAGTTTTGGGTTGCTTGTATGGAAAACTGTGTTTCAAAAGGTTCTGTAGGGTTGTATTGTGTTTCTTTAATCAAAGATCGTCTTTCCGAAAGTTTAGTAGGTGATCTGTTCATTCTTGTTTGTGTTTCTTTTTTTTTGTTGGCTTTGTGTAGGATTGAGTTTTGGTTCTTGGTCTTGTGCAAGTATAGATTGTAAGTCTTTGGATCTTGGTTTTTTGATACATGCGGATACTTTCTTGCGTTTTGAAAGTGAGAAGCTCGATTTTGTTTGTGTTTCTTTTTTTTGTTGGCTTTGTGTAGGATTGAGTTTGGGTTCTTGGTCTTGTGTAAGTATAGATTGTAAGTCTTTGGATCTTGGTTTTTTGATACATGCTGATACTTTCTTGCGTTTTGAAAGTGAGAAGCTCGATTTTGTTTGTGTTTCTTTTTTTTGTTGGCTTTGTGTAGGATTGTGTTTTGGTTCTTGGTCTTGTGTAAGTATAGATTGTAAGTTCTTGGATCTTGGTTTTTTGATACATGCGGAAACTTTTTTGCGTTTTGAAACTGAGAAATTATGTACAATATATGGATATATAAGCATCTGTATGTAGTAGGGTTGTACAGATTGTTTTCGTGAGAGAGGATGTAGAGGATGGATCTGCTAGATTCGGTAGACGGGTATGCTTCTGTCTGTCTTGTGGTAAGCTTCTTAGATTCTGTTGCTGACGTCCTGCGTCATATACAAGTTATTGACGTAATTAGGGCTTCTGATCATGGTTTCTCCCCTGATCTATTTTTTTTCTTAGTTCTGGAAATGTATATAGATGAGTATATATATATATATGTATTGTGCTAACGGTTAGGATTTTACTTATTCTCATCCGGGTCCATGGAACCATTTAAGAGCATACTGTGAGACAAGCCAATGAAGTGATTGGATCAGTTAAGTGAAATCCAATGATGGATCCAAGTCTGGTTAAGTTCTGTAATTTACTATGTTGGGTATTTTAAGCGTTAAAAGAAAGAGGTTAAGTGTAGAGCTCCTTGAAGTCCAATAGAGGATTTTGCAGGGTTGATTGAGCTGCCGAGCTATGGATTCCACAGCCCTACCCGAAGTTATACTTTTTCTGGGTAGGCTTGCGGTTTGCATATCTCAGGAGCTGCATTACCCTAAGCTTAATCCTTGTTTGGATTGAAGGGAGCTCTACACCTCGCTCTTTCTCTATATTAATCTTCACTTTCTAACCATTTAAGCTCATACATATATGTCTGCACGTACACATGAAACTTTATACATCTGACTTTTTCGTTAGATGTTTCGGGGTATCGTTTATTGCATCTTTTTATTATGTCTCTAGATCAGTACTGCAGATTCTTTGACGTAAATAAGGTATGCCGAGTGCTGAAGATCATCAAGAATGTTCTGAGAGATGATTGTCTCAGGAATGCTCGATTTACAGGCTTTTTGGCTGGAAGAATTTTTAAGCTTTTTAGAAGTGTATTTGCTGGGATAATTTATTTATATTCTCTACTCAAAGTATAGAAATCAAAGTTTCGAATGAGATCTTTCAGTTCATTGTTCTTAAAGATTTTCAACTTGTTTGTAAGGGTTATATTGTTAATGGCATTTATTTTATTTTTAATTTATACAAATTAATATATAAATTATAACTAAAATAACTCTTCAAAGTAGAAGTGCGTATCTCGGAATTTCAAATGTTAATCATCTAATTAACTAATATCTAAAATGCTTCGGAAAGAGTTTTATAAGTCTGGTAATTGACTAATGATTTCATGTGGGTTATTTAAAAGTTTATCGCAATAATCATAAGCGCCTGTAATAACTGTTACACTCAATGGTTACTGAGTGCTTTTTACCCACCTGTGACAGTTTCATGAGTATCCATTTAAGCCGAAATCAGTATCTGAAAAG